TCACTAGCCAAGGAACCAGGTGGATTCCAGGGGAGCGCCTGTCTTGCGTCCGGTTGGTTTCCGTGGATGCACCGGATTTGAGCTGCCACATGGGGTCCGACGATGACGAGGACGACGATGACAGCAGCACGACACACACACCGATGCCAGAACCTCCAGGACCACGACGATCGACGAGAAACCCAGGCCCGTCCATAGAGGAGCGGGTTCGCCAGGCAGTGCAGGAGTCAACGGAAAGCGGCAATCGTATCAGACAAACACGGGCACAGAACCGGGCCAATCGTGCAGACGAACACATTCCGAACGAGAACGACGCGCACAGCCTAATCGACGGCATCGTTATGTCAATGCTATCCAGTGACGTCGGCATCAACCTCGAGTACCCCGATGACCCAAAGTCACTCAAAGAGGCCCTCGAGAGCGACGAAGCAGATCACTGGCTTGAAGGCATACATGAAGAACTTGACTCGATACGGGACATGAACGTCTACGACCTAGTCCCGCGCACTCAGGTACCCCGCGACAGGAAGGTCATGTCCGGCAAGTTCCACTTCAAGCGAAAGCGCGACGCGAACGGCCGTGTCTGTCGACATAAAGTTCGCCGTGTACTTCGAGGGTACGAGATGATCTACGGTAAAGACTATACCAAGAGCACGTCACCCACTGCACGCATGGAAAGCGAGCGCATCGTATGCCACATTGCCGCTGCACTCGACTGGCAACTGTACCAAATCGATGTCAAGACTGCTTATCTGTATGGCGACCTCGATGAAGAGATCTACATGGACCAGCCCAAAGGATTCGAAGAACCAGGCAAGGAGGACTGGGTATGGCGGCTGAAGAAGGGGCTGTACGGGATGAAGCAAGGTGGTCGTATCTGGAACAAGACGATGGATGTTCACATGAAGGACATGGGATTCACACAGATCAGTGTCGAACACTGCCTTTACATGCGCACCACCAATGCTGGCACTACCATAGCAGCTGTTCACGTCGACGACTTCACTGTCACGAGCAGCACATGTGAGGAGGAGCGCCAATTTGAGGAGGAGATGCGGAAGCACTGGAAAATCACAAAGTCAGACGCCTCTTTCATCGTCGGCATCAGCATCAAACGCAACCGTGCGGATCGGACCATCGCACTGTCACAGGTCGCCCTCATCGATCGCATTCTCGTTGAATTCAACTGCAAGGACGTTAACCCGACGATCACACCACTTGCTCCCGGCACGAAACTCAGCAAACGAGACTCTCCGCGAACTGAGGAGGAGAAACAAGAGGCAGCAAAGCTACCGTATCAGCAGCTCGTCGGAAGCCTCATGTACTTGGCCATAGCAACACGACCAGACATCATGCATGCCGTCAGCACACTGAGCCGGTTCAACAGTTGTTTCGGTGTCGCACACTGGCGAGCAGCCATTCATATCGTGGCATACCTCAAGGGCACTCGTGACTACTGCCTCATCCTCGGTGGCGGAAAGCCAGTCCGGCTTGTTGGATACACAGACTCGGACTACGCAAACTGCCCAGACTCACGCAAATCAGTCTCCGGCTACTGCTTCACACTAGGCTCGGGGATCATATCATGGATGTCGAAGAAACAAGCTACTGTTGCCACATCTTCGACGGAGGCAGAGTACATGGCAGCGGCCGCAGCGACCAAAGAAGCAGTCTGGTTACGAAACCTACTCTCGGAGATCCAGCACGAGCAAGCCCGACCAACTCCGATCTTCATCGATAATAATGGTGCCCGCATCTTGACAGAAGACCCATCATTTCATCAACGTGCCAAGCACATCGAGGTTCAACATCACTACAGCCGCGAATGTGCACAGCGCGGAATCGTGCACTTCGAAGATGTCGCAAGCAAGGACAACCTCGCAGACATATTCACGAAGTCACTAGGGACCGCACCATTCGAGAAGTTGCGAAGCATGATGGGGATGGCCAAGGTGGATACGGACAGACCGTGATCGCGTTGAGGAGGAGTGTCGAAGTCCAACGCGGGAGCGCCTTAGGCGCGGACGTGTGGCGACGAGCGTG